CCCCCCCCCCGCCCTGACGGCGGCGGGGGCTGTAGTCTGCCGACCCACTGCAACACAGAGAGGAAGTCAGAATAGGATGATAAGAAACTGAAGGCCACACGAAGTGTTAGTCTTTAAACAGAACAACACAATAAAGACAATTTGACTAAAGGTGGATGTTTCTGCATTTCCAGAGGAGCACACAGGTAAAGAGGTGGTGACACGAACATTTATAACAAGTCTCTGACCTGTCACAGTTACTGATGGATACTTTGGAAAGAAGCAGGGTAAGTATAATACACTAGGTTTCTGTATTTATACTGCAGTTCAGGTTATTTCTGGGTTTTTGGACACATTAAGAAAAATCCACCCTGGTTCAACAGTAAATCTGTATCTTCTCTCCCACTGGATGTTCACTAGGAGAACCATAAGTGACGCTGTCGACCGATTTTAAGAAAAACAATGTTGGACAAGATGGAGGGAAATACATCAGCGGAGCAGCACAGTCCGCACGACGCTGCAAATCACATGTTGGCATCAGTATGATCACATGAATATGACATGAGTCACCGCTTGGGAGTAGTTGAGTAGTTCGCCACAGCAGACCCCCACACACAACACACCACAGAACGCTGCAGGGAACCGGCAGGAAAGGTTGCATTACTTGTGGTAATTAAATAAAATCACATCAGTGGTGAGTGGGTGTAACATGACAGAAACAAACTGGGCAACAACACAAACGGCGCTTGTGTCCATGGAGGCCCACGTTTCCATGAGATACTGATGCACAGTACATGTTTTACATACATGTTTCATTAGACAGAAAATGTGCCACGCTGTGTCCAGTGTGTGGAGACACACTCACCGGCCACTTTATTAGGTACACCTGTACAAACGTCAGTGCAACACATCTGTGTTTAAGAAGCTCAGCGTGTTTCAGTTCTTGGTGAAATTGTCATAAATGTATAAATTAAATTTTATGTTTATTCTCGAGGTCATAGTTAAAGCTGGTGTTGTACTGGACTACATTACATTTAGAGGTGTCCTCCCCAGCTATATAAGAGGGTCAGAATATTAGGAACACCTCTAAAATGCACAAAAACCAGGCGAATATCTCTGCTGCGCTTCCTGCTTCCTCTAACGCTGCCGCCCATCAACCTCCTGTGTGTTTGTGTGTGTATGTGTGAAGAGATGGCAGGAGACAGATGGCGTGTCATCCTGTCCTCCGCTCCCTCTCAGGGCACTGACATGTTCCCTTGACTCTCTCGTCTCTTTAACGAGCAGCACTCACCAGAGAAGTTCCTGGAGACGAGCATGGTGGTCAGAATGGCACCCTGTGGACGGAGGAGGAAAAGACACGGGCGAAGAGTCAAACTCCTTGTGCACACATATAATAAGCAGCCTTATGTAACAGCCATGACAGAAGCCTCACTCAGCTGAACATTTCCACATCCTTTCCAAGACAAGTCTGACTTAACTGTGGTCAGATGAATGTAAAGGCAGCATCATGAAGGTAAATATACAGAGAGAAAAAAGTGCATCTACTTCTTTCTACGATTACTGTAATACCTGTATTAACTGAAACATTCTGTCTTAATCACAAATCAAATCAAATGAGTTTAATAAATCTGGAAACACAGCGAGGGAGTCAGCTATATAACAGAAGAGGTTAAAAAGCCCTCCTGTGACCAACACCCTCCTTGTACTTCCAATGTACATGAATAAATGAGTGCAGCTTTGCGTGCACTATGTCGACAAACACATTGTCCCGGCACTGCGTGATTGTGTGCTGTCAGAGGACATAAAACAGGTGGCGGAGTCAGCTCTCATTAATGAAATTAACATGAGAATTTATAAGTGGATTCAATCACGACTGTCACTAAGGTTTCAAATTGGTTTGAAAATCCATCGGTGACGCAGCCTGTGAGAGAACAAAGCGCTTCCTCCTCCCTATCAAAACATTTATAACTCGCTGCTGTCTCTCAGAGCTCCACTGGCCCGAACGTTACATTACTGTCAACGCTAAATTACACGCTGTATTGTTGAATAATGATGTTTTACACATCACAGATGATCTCTGCTACATCTCCTCCTGTGAAGTTGTCACCAACACATAGGGGACACTAACCCAGCAATGTTCCATATCACATGTCTGAAAGAGGCTTTATCTGAGAGTCTGGGGGGAAAATAAAACCTGCAGTATAAAATGTGCAATTCATGTTTGCTGATGTCATCTGGTCAGAGTAAACATCTCCAGAAGAAGACGCAGATACTGTTTATAACTTCCTCGTGACCCTTCGCACCTTGAGTTTCCTCCTGGCGTTAAACTTCTTCAGGCACTCGACCGTCTCCTGTCTGTGCATCATGGAGGCCACTGTTGAGCGTTGCTGTGGGGGGACAGAGAGAGACGTGCTGAAAATAAAGAATCAGAAGAGCAGCTCTGACAGTGACAGCGTTATGTGGGCAGGAGCTGTCACTGAGACTCGCTTCCCTCAGGTTGTTAGGTGACGACAGGGCTAAACCCATTCCTCTTGGCTTTTCAGTGTCGTGACAGTCATCACTCATCTCTACACTGTTAATGTACATGATACAACACATGAAGCAATACACTGGTCTACAAAGGCTAGGGTCGCATGGGGGGGGGTTCAGATCCCTCCTGAAACCCTGATAGTTAGATACACTGTCCCTTCCCACATTTATATACAACAAACCATCTGAGACAAACTTAACCAAGTGTCCCGTGTGTGTGCGTGAGCTGGAGAGCCTGATATTTTTGTTGATGGAAAGCACACAGAAGTGCTTTCTGCTGAGACAGGCTGCTCATTAGCTCTTCTCTGGGACAAACCGTTCAAGATAAGCTGACCCAGTATCAGCAGATATCAGAGATTGCATGTTTGGAAACAGGTGGTGCTGATGCATTGGCATCGTCTGACAGAAGTTCACAAGCTTTCTGTTAGAGGATTTACAAATTAGAAATTGCTGAAGAATTAGACGGGACATTAAATGTAGTTTTCTGTCAGCAGTGACAGGGCGGTGGTGATCAGATGTAGCTAAAAATGTTGAAGTGTTGAAATGAAAAGCTCTTTAATCGTCACACCCACAGCCTTTGGTTTGCCACTGACTCAACCAGAAAAGATTAAATGGCCCCAGTGAGTCTCCCGGGAGTCTTCAGTCTTGGTCCTCACTGTTTGGTATCGCTGTGTGACCACATTGAACATGGACAAGACAAAGAAAGGTTGTCTGAGGAGGTCAGGAAGAAAAGAAGCACCAAACATGGTCGAGATGAAGGCCACAGAGCGTCTCTAAGCAGCTGGGTGCTCCAGTGACCACAGCTGCTCAGATCATTAACAAGTGGTCAGCCCACGGGGGCGTAGCCGACCTCCCTGGACATGAAGAGGAACACTGAGCCCAGACTGAACTTGGTAACCGCCAAGCAGATACAAGCTGAGCTCCGGGGCTTTCTGAGTGATGGAGGGCCAACAAAGAGGAACATATGTCCTCAGTACCGGCACGGGGGCTCAGCGTTGACCCTCCAAAATGCCGCCATGAGAGGTGGTATTTTTGCTGAGGCAAGCCCGCCCACCTCCTCTATAAACAGACCCGGGTGGAACAGAGGGTTGGGCAGAGGCGTGTGACGTTTTGACGCTGCTGTTGATATTTCTGATGTGTGTCTTATATGGCCACACATTTTCATCTGTTGTGTTATTTTATGTTACTTCAAAAATCAGAAGCAACACGCCTCTTCTATTAAATATGGACCAGAGAACGATGGATACCATTTACTTCTGTCAGCTTCAACTTCTTTCAGAGAAAATCATGTTGTTTCCATCATGTCTATGTGCGTAGTGGAGGAAAATGGATAGATGTCTATGTGCGTGTGTCCTTCATGCACTTACGCAGACCCATGGGTGCTTCAGAGCCTCCTGGGCAGTGATTCTTTTGGCCGGGTTGATCGTCAGCATCTGGTTGATCAGGTTTTTAGCCTCCGGAGTCACGGTGTCCCACTCTGGGGAGGGAAACTACACAGCACACACACCCATGCAGCATCATTTCTGGTTTACAGTGAGAGAAATGGAGGCGAGTGACGGCAGCAGGCTCACGTCGTAGGCTCCAGCCTTGATCTGCTGGTAGAGTTTGTGCTGGTCCTCGTCCCAGAATGGTGGGTACCCAACCAAAAGGATGTAGAGGATCACACCTACAAAACACAAGCTTTGTCTGAGAGACCAGGAGGAGGGAGAGGAGGTGGTGCAGAGAAACACAGACAAAGAGCTCACCACAGGCCCAGATGTCCACAGGTTTACCGTACGCCTCCTTCCTCAGCACCTCTGGGGACAAGTACCCGGGGGTCCCCGCAAAACCTGCACACACGAGCACAGACAGACACAAATCAGAGTCCAGTTTCTTGTAGGTGAGTTCTGCTTTGTTGTTGTCTACATTTAACACTTTGAGAGAGAGAGAGAGCAGCTGGTGGATGAGTCTCACTTTGATCCAGGAACGCCCCAAATCACACAGTGCAAAGGAAGCTCCAGTTCTAATGAAACTGGCTTATTATATAGCAAAAGGTTTTGTGCTATGATGGAATATTTTGAGGGAGCACACACGGCGTTATGTCAGACAGAGTCTATATCACTGCACCGAGTGCATTATGATAATGTAGCTTAATGTAGAGCCAGCGCTGTTAGCTGCTGCAGGCCCTTTTAATAGATCTCTATATTGGCTCTGGGTCAAAGTAAATAGAAGGAAGTACATTTACTGCACTTGGTTCAGTCTCACAAATTAGCCTACAAGTACAGCACCGACCATTTTAGCTAGTCTCCAGAACAGAAAACCACCAGTGCAGCGTCACTCTGTTCTCTCTGGGAAAAAGAAAGAATGTCTTAAAGACATGGAACCTGAAAACAAAAACAAGATGACAGTGTGTGGAAGCAGAGCCCTTCGTGGTCGAGAGGAGGGTGGGAACAGACTGGCAGATGCTACAGTACATTTCTCTTTGGGGGCATCGGGGAGCTGGTTACCCAGCGGTCGATTCACACCATTAGTTACTGCACAATGTCTTTGGAAACACACTGAAATGTGGGAGGATGTCTGAGATGAGATCATCTTTTACTAACAAGGCTTTTGAGAACATTTAGATAAGTTTGCTGGAGACTCGGCCAGCGTCAGGGCCTTTGTTGAAAAAATAATGTCCTGCAGTCACAGCAGGTCATTTCCACCGATAGAAATTGAGCTGTTGCAGGTTTAAGATTCAAACAAGCTAAAACAAGTCAACTGGAAACGTTAAGTCAGTGTTAGAAGGAGGCTTCGACCGCCCTGAGCTCATGTCGGCTCTTGCTGTAAACAGAAATGTTAGCAGGTGTAGGGCCTTCAAGGCAGTGATGGTGCATCAGCTGCAGGTCTCTCCCTAAGAAAGACTTTAATCTCAGTCAGACTCCTGAATAAATATCCAAGCAGCCATGTGTGTAACTGAAACTGTGTTTGTGTAACATACCAAACCAAGCCTGCTGTTCTCCTTGAACCTCGATGGCCAGTCCAAAGTCCGCCAGCTTCACTGCTGCGTTCTTACACTTGCTGGCCAGCAGCAGGTTCTCCGGCTGCATGTACAACACAAGCACAGGCACGTCAGCAAAGCCCTCCTGTCGGGGGGGTTTAGAAGTTTTAAAACGTCCAAACTCTTTGTGGTTGTACTGTTTCCTATTTTGAGCCTCTTCGTGGTCTCTTTGCTGTAGCTTTTTCCTGTGGTTGTTTTTAGTCCCTGATTGATTTTCATCTCTTTCTGGAAATGTGTGTCTCTCAATGGTCGTTTTGTGTCTTTATAGTTTTTTTTGCACATCTTTCTACTGGTATTGTGTCTATCTGTGCTGACAACAGCAATAAACGCCAATTGCACACATTCGTACCAACACTCCTACATATTCTAATACACACACACTCAGACAGATGGGACAAATGTGTAAGAGCTGTTTTTACCATTTGTGTATATGAGGAAGGCCAAACACAGCTCATCACAGTCGTGTCTTTGCTGCTCAGACGCTGATGTAACAGCAATCTGACGAGCATCCAGAGACCACACTACACACAGGGACAACACTGGTAGGACGGACAGAAACGGCCACAGGCCAATCACTGTCACCCTCTGCTGGTCAGACACACTTAGAGGCTTTTCATCCAGCTCTGGACAAGAACGTGAACCGTACAGCTGTGAAACCCAGCAAAGAAGGAGCAAGTAGCTTTGACCTTGTACCACACTTACTGTGTGGATTTAGGGCGTACAGTATTTCAGTACTGGGAGCTGTGAGATATTGTAGTATGTTCTCTTGCAGCACAGTTTTTTTGCAGACTGACACCGTTTTTGATGAGCCAGCAGACAAGTAACTAAAGCATCAGTACAGTAAAGGACGGCGTTTTGTTGTCTCTGGGCCTGGACACAAATTATTTCTTAGGTTTATCAGGGAATCCTACAGGATCATGTCAGAGTGGCTGCAGCCGAGGCTCAGTAGGAGCTGGGGGATGTGGCAGGACAGTGACCATATTAAAGTAAATCTATGACAGAATGGCTTCAAAACATGAAACTCTGCCATGTGGAGCGTCCCAGTCAGAGCCCAGACTTCCACCCAGCAGAGATGCTATGGAACGAGCTCAGAGATCGGTTCACACCACACACACAGAATGGTCCAAAGTTCCTCCTGAACACTATGCAGGCCTGATCCACAGCTACAGGAAGCAGCTGTGTGAGGTTAATACTGCCAAAGCAACTTCAGCCACTTTTAAAATCCTAAGGTTCACTTACTTTTTCCACCATCACTTTGACTGTTTCACAGCTGGGTTCAATAAAGACAAGACAAATTACAATTGCTTGTGCACTATCAGCTCCAGTGCCCAGTGTTTGTCTACACTTGTGACTTAGATGAAGATCTGATCAAATTTTGTGACAAATCATGTAGAAAACCAGGGAATAACAAGTTTTTCAATGACCTCTTTGCAACTATAATCAATGAATCAGTGTATAAAACATCAGAAACAAGTAACCACTGTTTACCTCGCCTCTTGCCCACTGTCAGCTGGGATTGGCTCCAGCCCCCCCACCCCCGCGACCCCATTCAGGACTAAGCAGTATAGATAATGGATGGTTGGATTATAATGTGTTTAATCATTACAAATAACATGGTTATTAACAGTTTATATATCATTTTACAGTAAATGTGTCCTTTTTTACTGGGGATGTAGAATCCCTTACACTTATTTGTGTATTTTTGAGGAGAGTAATTGAAGAGAACTGAAAAAACCCCAGTTCAGTAATAAAGCAGCCAGGTGTCATTTTGTCCTGTGTGTGTCAGTGTGTGTGACCCTTGTGGATGGGATCCACAAGCAATCGCACGTGAACTAGTTCTTACAAGACACATCTGTGAATAAAAGTTAAACTGTGAAAAGTTTATAACCTGCTGTTTTTAGGATTCTGTGTTTTAGACGACCAGGACTCATTCAGGAGTAATTAGAACCCACAACAAAAACATGACTACACTCAAATGCATGCAAACATCTACTGAAACACAAATGCACACAAAAAGGCAAACACACACATGTGCACACAGCCACATGCACACACACAGACAGATACACAGTCATGCATGTACTGACAGATCAGGACAACAGACATGCTGAGTGTTAAATAGATCTCACTGCACTTACCAGCCCTCAGAATCTAGAACAACAGTCAGACGCAGACAAATACAACTTTAACTTCCTGTCAACACACACGCAGACACTCACACCCGTGCAGGTGACTCACCTTGAGATCTCTGTGTACCACCCCCATCTGATGGCAGTGGAGCACGGCCTCCAGGATCTGCTGGATGCAATGACTGCATGCAAACAGCAGGGGGAGCAGGTTAGTCTGAACACATCCAGCCCCCAGCACCATGCAGAGGCAGCAGTGCACACACACACAAACGCACACACGCAAGGATATCACAGTCAGCTCTGTCTCTCACACACACATGCTTTCAGTATAGAAATGGTCTCTCTCTGCACACACGTGAAACAGTGAAGAGTGAGTCTGTCTGTGAGCTACCGAGGGAGAAGGTGTGCACTTTGCTATTTTCTGTTTTCACCAGAGTCAAGGAGACATTTCCTTCTATTAGTTCACACATCAGCACAGATGTTTCCGCTCTGCCTTCTTCAGTGTGCAACAGTCATTCAGTTTCATGGTTGAGTCTTTTTACATTTGTACCTGGAATGCGTGGGGTCACCCCTAACCTAAGGCTCAGGTCATCAAATAAGTCTGAGGGGTCATGAGATGATAAATGGGAGAAGAAAGGAAGAAAAACCTAATTTCAGATACTCATAGTTGTCTTTGTCTCTCTCTGTCTATTTGGACGTTTAACTAATCTTTTAATCCCAAATTTGCCTGAAGGAGCTTTACAGTCAGGACAGACCCCTGAATCGAAAACTTCACCCCCAAAGAAACGTAATGGAACCAGAGACGTTTGTCACAATAGTTAAAAGCTACAGATTTAGTATTTATCAAGGCTGTTTTTTATTATGAATGTATCATATGTTAAAACCTTAAAAGTAGCTACAACTGTCAAATAAATGTTCCTCCTCACACATGTACTTTGTCACTTGTGAACCCTTTTCTTGGACTTTGGAGTATGACTTTGGTCATACACACCCCAGTTCTCCTTTTGCCTTTGGCTGAGCACAGTGTTCTTCTCCTTACTGTCAAGGCAGAGCCAGACGTTGTACAGGTAGTGTAGGAGTGCTGCAGCTCCACGTGGGAGACTCTGTGTCTAACCTGCACATTCCCCTGTTTAATTTAGTCAGGAACAGCAGCAACACCGCCTCTGAAGAAGACACTGCTACTCCACTGAACTCTTCACTCACTCTCTCTCTCTCGGTCTTGTCTGCCACAGGAAATGCCAGTTCTAGTTCAGTCTAAAACACACAGTATCAATCCCAGAAGCAAAACCTGAAGACAGACAGACACACAGAAGGAGACAGACAGACAGCAGGCTGTTGTTCAAATCACAGGCAACAACAAAACACAAGCAAGTCAAGAGCAGCGAGGGTGCAGGGGAATGCAGCACGAGACACACACACACACACACACACCTTGAGGTCCCTGTGCACTATGTCATGTTGGTGGGTGTAAGACACACTGTCTAGAATCTGATGGATACAGTGACTGTGGAGACAAAACGACAGGGAGAGCAGCAGATAAAGGAGGGAAGGGAAGGAAGCATAACAACAGTAATACAGAGAAGAGGAAGGAGATGGGAAGCACGTGACAGGAGGAGGCTGGAACAGGTAAAGAAAGAAGTTTAAGGGGTGGGTTCACCAAAATGACAAAACCATCTTTACCTATCTCTTAGTGCCACATCAACACTGCTGGTTTTATTTTTCCATTTTTGAGATATTTACCTTTACCTGTTTGAGATTTCTGCCTTCACCCCACTGCAATGAATGTCAGTGGAATTTAATGTCAGGTGCTCACAGCATTAAAAATCACTGTACAGTGATGTACAAAGGTTTTAGACATAAAGCAAGATTCTCCATCAATAGCTTTTATTTAACAAAAAGCACCAACAGTGGCCTGTAAACCAGCCCCGGTTCTCCTCCATACACCTACACACAATTCTTCCAAGTGTCAGGCCATACAACGAATCTGGGACCAATCGGACGCCTCCCTGAAGTTACTGTGTGACACGTAAGAATCTCAGACTTTGTACTGTATATAAACGAGATTAAAAGGCCACACGGCCACAGTGATCTTATTACACCGGGCCCTGGGATCATCAAATCTTGACTCCTACTTCTGCACTATGGGTGCTAATAGATGTGACAACGCTACATGTGACACTCATAAAGCCTATATGCTAAAGTCAGCGTGCACACAGAGATCATGCTAAGATTTTTAGCAGGCATTAGCCTGTGTTTACACCATCTTGGTTTAGTGTGCTAGCATGCTAACTCTTTCCAACTGAGACTAACGGGAACTGGTTAGTTATGCAGATAAAATCGAAGTATTAGACAAATTACAACTTTGACCTGATGTGAACGTGCACATTCCAGTTTCCTGACAATCCAATAGATTCCTCATGAAAAATGTCACTGTGCTGGTGGCTTTAGAGGAGACGTCAGCAGGATTCATCCTCTGGGGTCCATGAATATCTGCACAAAACCTCACGACAATCCATCTGTGGCAGTTTATGAAACAGGAAGTTTATCCAGACAGGGGCATGAATGTGCACATTCCAGTTTCCTGACAATTCAATAGATTCCTCATGAAAAATGTCACTGTGCTGGTGGCTTTAGAGGAGACGTCAGCAGGATTCATCCTCTGGGGTCCATGAATATCTGCACAAAACCTCACGACAATCCATCTCATAGCTGCTGAGACGTTTCTGCCTGGTGGACCGACACACTGACACACTGCTATCGTGGCAACTTGTCTTTCCAGTGACAGTGAATAATCCACAGAACTCACTGTCAACAACTTTCACTGAACTATTTAACATGGAATAAATGGTTTCTAACATGGTTCACCATGCGCTCTGTTGATTAGCCATAAAAACGTGCACAATGTTTCTGGAAAGTCGCACCTATAGGTCACCACACACTCTTCACCTCCACTGTACCGGGGTGAAGGCAGAGGGCGAAGAAACCTGTATCTCAAAACCTGGACATAAAACCAAAATGGCATCAGTGACACAGTAAGTCTCTGTTTTCAGGGAGGGACTGAGCGATTCTGTGTGCAGATGGAGGGGAGACAGGAAGCCGTCAGTGAGATCCTGCTGGACAGTAACGAGGCCATGCAAGTTACACACCCACACACAAACACAGAGTGACACACAGACACACATCATTCATGCAAAGAGAACAAGACAGAGTAAAGGCACATCGGAGGGAAAGTAAAGCTGGAGAATAAAGAGGAAGAGACACTGAATCCACTCAGTCCACTAACTCCAGTGTGCATATGCATTTTAAATTCATTTTTCTTTTTGGGTGTGCTGATGGATAGAGATGTGGATGGGTTTCTAAGAGATGTGCATGCAAAACAAACCACAACGACTGAGGAGATCAACATGAGCAGCTGCATGACAAACTGCATGGGGCCAAAAGAGCGATGGATGGAAAATGTTTCATATCCAAGAAGGAAACCTATTTAGTTTCGATCTGAGGAGGAAAGTTATGGATGTGGACGGTGGGTGGGATCGTCTTCACTGACCTTTGTCAGCTCTTACAACAATACGAATACAAAATATAGAGACAGAACTGAAGCTAATGTCATCCAGTACAGCACCACCTTAAACTACAACCTCAATAATAAACATAGAACTGAATTTATACATTTACAGTACGACAATTTCACCAAAAACTGATTCATGTTGAGCTTCATAAACACAGATGTTAAGGCAGAAGTGTGTACAATTGTACAGGTGTACCTAATAAAGTGGCCCAGGAGTGGATATGATCATCTTGACCCATACAGCTTCTGCTTTTACCAGTATCTCTTCATTAATCAGTACTGGATGTTTTTAGGCAAATGATGATTTGGCCAGTTACATGTAAATCACCTTGCGTCACACCCTTGCTGAGTGGCTTTGTGTGCTCAGTCGCTTTATACCCTCCGTACAGTATTATCCTTGGCTCTGTATCTTCTGTGTTCTCTATAAGCTGCTGGATGACTTAAACGTCCCTCGAGTATTCAATATGGAGACAAGCTCTGAACAAAATGATGCTAGTCAGGCTTTGTGTCAGTTCACTGTGTTGCTTTATGATTTATGTATTACATGCATTCGCTAATCAAAACAAAAGCTGCTCCCTCTTGAAGTCTGACGGTTTTTGTCATGTGCTTCAGTGTTTTTATGTTGAAAGTATATGAACAAAACCCTAACAGGTGGGTGAGACCGGGAGTGAGAGATAAAGAGATTTAAAATCAACTGCGCCTCTCTTTCTACCTCGTTTCTGTCCCCTTCTTTCCTTCTCTCTCTCGCCTCCACAAACCGCCTCCACAGTCAAACTGATTTGAGTCTCCCTCCTGAGGGGGTTACAGCGTGGGCGTGAATGCAGTTTTTTTTTTTTTTCCTTTTGCATGTGGACGTTTCCATCTGTCTGTAAAATTCTGACTCCAGGAAAAAGAGCACAGAAAACTCCACAGAGGTATTATCATCATCATACCCAGAGCCTGTAATGCCAAAGGCAATGTGTTAGGTGTGTTGTGTGTGTGCTAATGAGAGGAGCGAACTCTGCCGGAGACACTGCAGAGGCTGGAGGACTGACACATGGAGGGGATGTAGAAGATGAGACAGATGAGATTCACGAGTGTTTACCTGGCATCTGCTTCACTGTAGTACTCTCTAGCCACAATGTCCTCAAACAGCTCCCCTCCTGTCACCCTGAGAAATGTAAAGGCCGAGGTTAAAACGCCAGATTACATACATTTACTCACTCATTCACACACGCACACACACACACACACACACACACACCCACACACACACACACACACACACACAGGAGGGGGATGTCCTCATTAGGGGGAAACCCCGGCTGCAGGATTCACTCTGACTGGGTTGCCATGGAGACTGGCTCCGGTGCGTGGGCGTGTGGATGTGTGTGCACTAAAGTGGGAGCCGCAAGGAAAGAGGAAAGGAGGGAGAGAGGGAGGGAGGGAGGGAGGAGAGGAGGTGGGGTTGGATTGTTATGTAATGGGGGAACTGCCTTGGAAGTGGGGATGAAGAGGAGCAGGAACAGAGGATGCTGGAATGTGGATGTAGAGAAGGCAGCATGGAGGTGACAGATTGAAGGAAGATGAAGCACCAGGGAAGAGAGGAGGAGGAGGGCGAGCAGCACAGCATGGCAGAGAGAGAGAAGAGGCAAAGAGGAGGAAACGAGGCAACTCACAGGTCAAAGAGGAGATAGTGGAAGCCCTCCTCTGAGATACTGTCATGGAGACGAACTGGAGGAAAATGAAGAGAAGCAGATACAGAATCAGGATAACAGGATTTCTTTGTATCTCAGACACACACCTCGTGAGTTCAATCTTAAAGGACAAATATGGTGACATTCTATATTTTTCTTATAGTCAGGAATCCACCAAAAGACCAAAACCACCAAGGGACTCATCCTTCCTACTAATAAGCAGGACTGGCCAAAATACTCACAATATAATGATCAATATCAATAATTATCAATGTATAGATTTAATATCATTATTATGGAAGGTAATAGAGAGTGTGTTGAGCAACACTGAAAACACTCCTCAACTGAATTCATGCTCATAGTGATTGTCCATAGATTTATATTAACTCAACACAAAGGTAAAATCCTGACCATGCTAGGTGGCTAATGCTACCAAAACAAACAGCTTTAGATACTAACACATCCTGAAGGAGGAACGCCACACCTGGGGTTATCAGACAATGTGGGAAATCTTAGATAATACACCTTTAAGGAGACACAACACTTAAAAAAGGGGAGTCTCACCGATGTTGGGGTGCTTGAGCAATCTGCAGATCCGAGCTTCTCTCTCCAGTTTCTGATGGTCTACGACAAAGTCAAACAAGGCGTTACAACACATTTAGACAAAGCGAATACAAACAGGTGACATCATTTACCTTTTAACACGTTTCAGGATGAAAAGATAAAATTAGTTTGTAGAGTGTGAAGTGTTCTCAAGGTGACTTACAAGGAGATAGAGACACAACTTTTCTGCATATGTGGTTACACACAAACACAGATGAGAACCCCAGATTTGACCTACTTATCCCCTCAATCCTGACAGAGGAGGGGAGGAGAGGAGAGGAGGAAACAAGAGGAGATGAGGAACTAGCAGACAGAAGAAAATAAGAGAGAAGAAGTGAAAAAGAGAAGAGAAGAGGAAATGATAAGACAGGAGAGGAAACAAAAGAGAGGAGAGGAAAGAGGAGAAGCTAAGGAAAGAAGGTGAGAAAATCACAGGAGAGGAAACAAAGGAGGGCAGGAGAGGTAAGAGGAAGGAATGAGGAGAGAGGAACTAAGAAGACATGAAAACTTAGGAAGGGAAAGAAATAAGAGATGAACGGGAAAGAGAGTACAGGACAGGAAACAAGGAAAGGAAACGAGATGAGAGCACAAGTTGGAAAGATACAAGAATGAAGAGGAGAGACTCAGACGTCTGTGGCGTCTAAGCTCTGACTCAGAGAAAACAGAGAGAATTGTGTGTTTTAACAAAGGTGTTGTGACATCGAGGTCCCTACAGCCCATGGATGGATCACTGGGCAGGCCCACCGCGCTCAGGTCCAGGGGTACAAGGGGTCAGGGGGCCCCTGGACCTGAGCCTCTGTGTGAAGTGACTGTTAACACGTCTTGTTGGAAGGTCTGTCAACAACAGATGATGCAACATGAGAACAAACAGATGCAAAACATCCACAAAGATGCAAAATGAACACAAGGACATGCAAAACAACCTCAGACAGAAACGAGTAAAATAAGCACAAAGAGACACGAACCAATTAAAGATGCAAAGCAAAATGAAAACTGAGTTTCAAAACAAGGACAATGAGAAGCGAAATGGCCACAACTAAACAGACACAAAATGACTTCAACGAACACGAAGACACAAAACCCTTTGTGGACCTGTATGCAGGAGGGTGGGGGACCTGGTAGCGGTCTGGGCCGGGGCCCAGTGTCTGCTAATCCGTCCGTGCCATAGCCGCTTGTTTCTTTGCCATAATTACACCAGTGCTGCTATTTTTAGATGATTTCTGAGGTGATTTTACACGTTTTGATCCTGATTATATCGGGAGACTGAGACATCAAACACAGGACGCTGCTTCATCACACTTCGACTGACAATGACATCATGTCTAAAACACCACAAATAGCACTTTAAAGGCACTGTTCACATTTTGTGTCCCACACGATCTATAGTACAGTGTGAAGCCTGAGCACAAACTGGGTATGTTCTCCTGTTAGTCTGTGTTCCAGTTCCTCTCTCCGAGGAACAGACTTGAAGCTTCACACACTGGAATCAAACAAGCGCTAAAATATGCTAATGTTAGCTTTCAGATCTGGGACACACACTGATGAAAAGCCCCATGATGCTTCAGCTTCTGCCTGTCAGTGCTCAGACCCCTTCTCTCTCTTTATTGCCCCTCAGTCCAAACTCAATAATGTAACAACAACATGACAAAGTGAAGACATGTTTTAGAAATTTCTGACTGAAATCTCTCATTTACAGACGTATTCAGAGCCTGAATCCAGTTCTTTGTAGAAGTTCCTGTGGCAGCAGTTACAGCTTCAGGCTCTACCAACTCTACACACCTGGATTTGGCCAGTTGATCCCGTTGGTCCTGCAGATCCTCTCCAGCTCCGTCAGACTGGATGGGAAGTGTCTGTGAGCTCTTCAGGTTTCTCCACAGATGGTCTGTGGGGGTTAAGTCTGGACATCAGCTGGGCCCCCTCAGGGACAGTCAGAGTCCTGAAGCCGCTCCAGTGTCTTGGCTGTTTGCCTCAGGTCGCTGTCGGCCCAGTCTCAGGTTTTCTTCCAGGACCTCTCTGTGCCTGGCTGCGTTTATCCTTCCCTCAGTTCTGACTGGTCTCTCCTTGGTCTCCTCCCTGACCGAGGCCCTTCTTGTTCCTCAGTCTGGTCGGAGGCTGAATCTAGAAGGGCCCTGCTGGGTCCAGACTTCATCCACGTCCCAGTTACTGAGGCCACCGTGATCCTGGGGAGCTTCAGAGCTTCCGACGTGGTTTGATCCCCTGGTCCTGATCCGGGCCTCACCACAGTCTGACCACAGAGGTCCACAGAGAGCTCCTGGACCTCATGTCCTCACCTGCAGCATGAACTACACAGGTGTGTGTCTTTCTACGCTGGGTCCAGTTTGCCCAGTTTGCCACAGGTGGACTCCAGTCAGGGTCTGGACTCATCTCACACCGGAGGCTCAGTGTGGGGCCACAGCGAAGCGTTCTAAAAGCATGTCTTCACTTTGTTACGGTGGGTTACTTCGTGCACAGTAATGGGCAAAATTGGCAGTTTCATCCATTTAAAATTAAATCTACAACACTGTAAAGTGAAGGGGTCTGAAACTTCCTGAAGCACATCACAGATCTATAACCGTATGTCTTTCACTTGTGACATTATTTGTCTCACCTCTGGCCGAGAGCTTTTTGGTGTTGATGATTTTGGCGGCATACTCCTGGCCTGTGCAGAGTTTGACACAGCGGCGCACCACTGAAAAGGCCCCCCTGGGAAACAAAGACAGGAGAAGGAGATGTGTCAGCTGCCAAATAAGCTTCATCAGTATCAAAGGAAACATCTCAGCCATCAGGTCGACTCGCTGTTGTCCTGGACTCCTCTCTGGCTCTAAACCACCCTGATCTGAGTGTCTGAGTCTCTTCCCCCCTCATTATATTTTTTCTTCAAGGCTGGATTACTAACCGGTTTGCCTGGTCGCATATTTGTTAGAAAGCATGAAGTACAGGATGTCTGGTCCTGCATTTCGTGGTCCTGTCTGTGTCAAAGTCTACTCTGCAACTTTCTTTTATTGTGTTTTATCAAATTGCTTCTGTTTTCCTCTGTGGAAGCTGAAACAGGAAACAGTCTGCAGGTTTCTTTTCTCCACAACGTGAATCAGTTCAGAGAAGCGAGCGGCATCAAGAACCAACAGAAGAAAAGCAGAGTTTCAGGGATACGTCCTCTCAGAGCGTGTGCTGGAGTTTTAGGGCCACATTGGCTCGTCAAACCCCACAGAGACAAACAGAAATAACCACCTCTGACACTCTCAGAGCTAATTTTATCTCACCTCAGTACTGTTATGCAATGAACCACTCAGAGCCCCTGCCTCTCATGAGCTCTCTAACAGGCATACATTATAAAGAGATGGGATGAGTAAGCGTGACACTCGCTGACACCCTCGCCATGTGGTTGGAAAGACAGCAGAGCTTCGACATGACAGGTTATCTGCAGGGCAGGAAGACGACTGGATCTGGGTCCAAAACCTGGATTAACAAATCCCTAATCTAGTCTTTTAGATTGACCCTTTTATTTTTACCAAAAAGTCACGTCCAAAGCGCTCAGGCATATTTAGCCAAACTATAAACCTAAAGTGATTCACTATGACATAAGGAATCAGATTCAATAACCAGTTTAGTGCTGAAATACTAGGTTGATTAACTGACAAGTGGCCGTGCCCTGACACCCACTGTCACCTGATGGCTGGTGGGAGCTGCACTTGTAGTGGGTTTTCCCAGCGGTACGACCATTTCACACACAAGCTTCAACGAACAGCACAAAGATGAGACTTAAACTTTATCTGAAGTGCAGCCAGGAGTTGGTGGAGACCAAACACAGAGCTAAAACAGAGGGAACACTGGATTTCCATTCATCAAATCAATACAATCACCAATCGAAATGAGTATTCATGTTGTTTTGTGACTGCTGCAGGTGTACACAACCGTTTGCCAACAAATTCAACAAAGCAGCTTAGACACAGCCTTTGCAGTCGGTTACTGCAGCTTTGGGAGTCACACAGCGTTACAGGAGTAAAATCAGTGGAGTCCACTTTGAGTGTTCCCCTAAACTTGATGCCCATATTTAACCAACTTCTTCTTCTGTCTGCGTTGTTTACTGCCTGTTTATACTGTTTATTTTGCATTGTTTGCACTGTTTGTTGCTTGGTAATACAGTTTATTTTGTTATACTACGCAGCCTTATGTTGGTTTACTGTTTGCGTGCCCCTTGCATGGGGACATGTAGATTCACATTGAGAGCCGATGTACCAGAGTCAAATTCCTCATGTGTCTGACACACCTGGCCAATAAAGCTGATTCTGGTTCTGATTCTGGAAAAGCAGCAAACCTTACAAGTGAGGAGCAGGAGCTGGCATTTGTGCTTGATAAATGACTGATGTGCAGGGTGGAAGAAGTGAAAGTCATGCCTTCCAAAAGTAAAAGTATTAGCATCAAAATATTTAGTGGGAAAAAATGAAAATGTGTTTAAGTTTAAGAAAATGTTCTTAAGTAAAGTGCTTTTGTCATGTTCCACTGCTGCTTATTTGACTAGTGATGATCAAAATAGCTGATTATTTTTCTCAGTCCACCCTGGAAGCAGAAGTGGTGGACTTCAGCTGCATCACAAAGCCAGGACACACAGGGCTGCGTTATCAGTGAGCTGCTGCTGCTCCATTCTATTGTCTTGAACTTATCACATCCCACACACACAAGCCCGGAGATCACCGCCATCACAAAAGAGTGTGAGCAGCCTGTAAAATACACTATTAACATCCGAGGTTCACGGCTGAAGCCATCCACAGCGCTGGGCTGTGGAATAAATGTTCCTGTGAGGCAAACAGTGCAGAGAGATCCTTTCTACCCACGCACAACCTGACAGAGACACTGAGTCCACTTTGCATCACTGTGGCACCCAGAGCCTCTCCAGTCTCTCTCGGTTTGTCTGCATCCTGTTAGGAGCCACACATCCATCATTTCTCTGTTTCTTCTTGTATTAATCACCAGATACACGTCATTAGATTAGCAGCCGTTTTCTCTGACTTCTCTGCTGTGACACTGGGATTAAAGCCAGCTCGTGATGAGGGAGCTTAATTCCGTCACATCAGCTTTTCCTTCCTATTAGGCCTGTTTGTCCCTAATTAGCCTTTGAGCAAAGTGGGGGTAAGGGGCGGGGGGTCCCGAAGTGCGCCCGGGCTCATGAAACTCCATCTTCATGCAACACTTAACTATAAGACAGCTTGACATTAATATAAGTGGCGGTGTACAAAGAAGCCATGCAATGAGAAACCATCGGGATTTAGAGACTACTTTTAGAGCTCCGGACCAGCGTGCGTTTTGTTCTGAGGGGATGGAGCTGCACCGCCACCGCAAATGAGCAGACCTCCATCCCATGCACGGGGTCAGGCTGCGTGCAGGACACTCAGAATAGCGTAATGTAACAGCGGCTTACTTGCCAAGCTCCTCGTACAGCTGGTATTCATCTGTAAAACGCGTACAAGTAGTCGTTGCCATGATGTCTCCTCCTCGGACGGGTACGGTTGCTGAGTCCGAAATGCTCGGTGCGTCGCTGCGGACGGGAGGACCTCTGGCTCAGTCTCCGCCCACCTCAGACCCCCGGTCGGCTGAGTGGTTCAGCTGCAGCCCGGCACACACACACACACACACACGGTCTTGGATGGCTTTCTCCGCTGTGTCCAGCGAAAGGAACTGACTCTTTAAATGCCACACAAAATGGAAACGTGCGCTCACTACGTGACGTGTTCCCACGGATAAAAAAGAAAAGGACAAAAGGTGAAACCAGGCTGGGAGTGCGCTGACTGAGGAGTGCGGGGGAGCGCAGCACTTGATCACAATCATAAAATGAGGAGAAGCCTCCAACCCATGATGTAACTCCATGGGGCTGCGCGTCCACACGCTTTTTGTAGACTTTCCTGAGGAAACCCTGAGTGAATCAAAATGTTAAATTCTTCTCAGTGCGTTTCAGTTTTCACATAGAACTTTTTGGCAAAACACAGGAGAAAGTAAACAATAACTAGCTTCCTAACCATGGGCGAAGCTGTCAGGCAGCACCAGGGCACACATTTGCTGTTAGGCACCAATAACCCCCTCACCCACCCACAACTTTCTGTGTGTTACACAGAATAATTATTCTGGTGAATATTTGAGCCACATATTTTTTCTCACACTGGAGTGTAACAGCCAGAATCAGCCTAGATGTTGAGTGTATGGGCCTGACTTGAGCAGAGGACCCAGACATATTGAATACTGGGCCAGAAGCTTTTGCAATGTGGAGATGCCACCAAGCGATATCTGGATGATGGTATGCCAGCACTGTCCCAGTGGAATATACAGATTCTGTTAAATCATAAGTCTTTTTTTTAAATCCTGGTTGTTATTCTCTATTTCCTGTTATGACACATTGAGAGCCTCTGTCCTGGAGTCATGTTCCTGTATGTTTAAACATACTTTGCCATTAAAGAAGATTCTGATTCTGGTTCACGGCAGGTCGCTGTCTTTCTACTTATGGCAATTTAAAACTTCACAGTACTTTCTGAAAGTTCAGGAACTGTGCTAAGATCGGTCAAGTAGGCTGGAATTTTCTGACTTCAACAACCAAGTCCAGGCCCTGTTGTTCATTTTGCAGATATTATTATTATTATTATTACCAACATTCAAAGGCTCTCTGTATTTCTGGGCCCCTGGGTTTCAGCCCAGGAAAGAGAACATGTTAACCTCATACTGCCAGATGTCATTTGAGCATGATAGCATCATGCTAACATTAACATCTAGCTCAAAACATCACAGAGCTACTATTGCTCCATACTTAGTCTTGTTAAGAAACATTTCCCCAGAATGTTTAATGTGAACATCAAAATGACACCAAGATATGACGATGTCACGTATATATGCACTGAATCTTGTTACACGGTTTAGTTTTGAGTTGTAAGGGAGTCTTTTGTGTACATTTTTAAGGAAAGCTAGTAACTGAGCATTTATGCGACAAGTATACGACAAAGATGTGATCTCTTTATTATCTAACACTGGCCACTTTCTATTCACCTCTCCCCTGGAGCTGAGGAGACGAGGCTTTTCATTTAGCTTCTCTTTTCATTTTTCCATTTTACTTTTCCCTCTTACTCCTTCAATACGTTTGATGATGATTTGTGTTTACATTCTCAGTTTGCACATGCATAATTGCACACTGACTGTTGACTGCTGCACATGCAGCTCCCATGTAGCATATTTTTATTATATCTCTGCATTTGCTGCTTAAAGTGCCTTAGATTTTGTGTTATTCATCTAATTTCTATTTCATTTATATTTTGCGTCAATGACGGCAAAGTAAGAATTTCATTGTACAGGGAAACACGTTTCCTAACTGTGTATATGACAAATAAACACTTTGACCTTTGACGTTATCAGCTCATCTATTCCATTTGCCATCTGTAAAGATGCATTGCAATAGGAATGAATTTGGAGATGATTATGCAGATGGACGCATGAGGAGATAAATGAGTGAGGGAGGGTGGGAAGACTAATTTCTCACACTTTATCAACAGTTCACAAGTCGTAACCCTACATCTGCCATATTGTACATTCGTTTTAAAAAACCCTGACAGTTTATTCACCGTGCTGCCCTGGCAGTGGTTAGCACCGTTGCCTCAAAGCGAGAAGGTTCCAGGTTCGGGCCCCACCCGGGACCTTTCTGTGTGGAGTTTGCATGTTCTACCCGTGCTTGTGTGGGTTCTCTCCGGGTACTCCGGCTTCCTCCCACAGTCCAAAGACATGCAGCTTAGGTTGATTGGTGTCTCTAAATTGCCCATAGGAGTGTGTGTGTGTGTGTGTGTGTGTGTGTGTGTGTGTGTGTGTGTGGTTGTTTGTCTATGTGTTAGCCCTGCGATGGATTGGCGACCTCGCCTTCGCCCGATCGCCGGCTGGGATTGGCTCCAGCCCCCCGTGACCCCATTCAGGGACTAAGCGGTAGAAAATGAATGAATGAATGAATGAGTTTATTCAGTAGTGAGTTATTCTGCCAGAACAGATCTAATTTGATTTGTGTGATATCTTTCAATCTGTGGTAACATTTAACAGGGGAAATGAACAAGAATATCATTTATAAACAGAAATGAACCAATAGGAAGGTTGCTGAAACGTTTGCTGCCCCACTCTCGGCAGCTGGTAGACAAGGTACGTGGGCAAAATCACACAGCGAGGAGAACGAGGACACAGAGCTAATGAAACTGATGCCAGGTTTATTCTTATTTGTTTGCACCACTGATAAAATGCAGAAAAAAAATATCCCATCAAATGTTCAAATGCCATTAAAAGGCAAAAACTACTGTGTTCTAAATGATACTGCTTCAGAGAACGGGGGTGGGCTCGGCTGTGCTCGGACTTCTGCTGCTCTCTATTAGGAGCACTTTAGGTCAAAATTCTTCTACTTCCAGCTGTTCCCGTTGGGGGTCGCCACAGCGAATAATCAGTTTCCACTGAACTGATAATGCACATGTTAAACTTGGCCGGATGCCCGGAGGACCTGGAGAGAACCCACGCAGGCACAGGGAGAACATGCAGACTCTACATAGAAAGGCCCTGGATCGGCCCGGGCTGGTACCCGCGACCTTCTTGCTGTGAGGCTACAGCGCTCCATGCACTTGAAGTCAAAATAAGTTTGATAAATAATTTTTATTAGCTTTACTTTTGTCTTCCACTCGAGTCAAAACTGTTGCTTTTGGCGGTTGAAGAAACACAGGCCCAGAAAACACTGATGGGTGACCAACAAAAGTCTGAGCTGGTTCCAAGCAAACCCGCTGAGAAAGATGAGAATGAGTTTCTATGAGAAGAAAGCATCATGGAAATGTCTGAAGTCCTTGTCACAGTCTGGCAGACAAACCTCCAACACAACAAACCAGCAGGAAAATGTTGACCCCCCCCCAAACAGCCAGTTCTGTAAACAGACCAGGGTCCTGCTCATATCTGGCTGAGCCTCAGAACTGCACCGCACTGGGCGGGATGTCGAACATGGACGGGTCGAACTGCTGCCCTCTGAACGGCGAGCCTTCGGCGTCCCAGCCCTTCTTCAGCATCTCATGCACTTTCTGTGAGGAGACATGGAGGTAGGTTTGTTAAACATGCACCATTCATGCTATAAGGAGCACAGTGCCATCTAGTGGCGATGGGCTTGCTGTTACTGAGCAGCACTGCAGCACTCATTCAGTACAATCCAGCCCACACGCTCTCCCCTTTCAGACGTGCACCTAGTAGTGTTACTGTGGCTGCAATTTAACCTGCTGGGTGATTCATTCTTATGTAAACATGTTCTAAACATAGAGGAGACTGTTCAGAAGATCATCAAGTGCATATTAGACAAAAACGACCAGATCCTGCCTCCTGTATGATTCATAGCATCATCATTACACAGACATCCTCTTTTCCCCTCCAGGCTTTAGAAACAAGGTTCTGACTTCCCTTAAAAACACCAAACAGCCACTTCACCATTTTGCCACCAGCACTCCAAAACATTCCTGAATTTCAGTCATATGTTTCTCTTAGTATTAGTGTTTATAAATTCTCCGAACAGGAACAAAAACATGAGTCATTCTCCATCTGGATGTTTTAAACCGGTGAGAGAGCACAGGCTCAAAACCACTGCTGGCTTCGTGAACACAGGTTCAGTACCACAGCAGTGCTTCATCTGAATGCAAGTCCACAGTGTTGGTTTTACCAGAATGACCTTCAACAGTCTTTCTTTAAATGTAGTGAGCAGCTGTGTCTTAAGTGTATTATTGCTGCACATTAGACCGCCTCTCTAAATACAGTTGTGGGTGAGAATACTGGCACAGTTGCATTTCTTTTCAAATAACACACCGTATCTTTGAGAAACCTGTGAAATTAAAACTGATGGACATTTCCAAAACACACCTGAACAAACCAACATCATTCTGAGAGAATGTTCAATGGACAGATGGACCCAAAGTACAGTTTTTTGGTAACCTGCATATGTTTACAAAAAAATGAAGTCTTCAACGAAAAGACCACGGTTGGGTGAAACATGCAGGATCACTGATTTTGTTTCCTCTGGTCTGCAGCGTCTTGAATCTGTGTGTGAAATCAAGCAGATTAACGAGGTACTGTGGAGAGTCTCACCAAGCTGAGCCTCTGTCGAGGGGCCTCCAGATGGACAATGACCCAAAACATATCACAAAGCACCAGAACTGGTTCGGAAGAAAACACCAGACTGTTCTAAAGTGTCCAGATCTAAATCCCACTGAACGTCTGTGAGGAGGGCTGGAAACAGCAGGTGGAAGGAGAACTGGAGCAGTTTGCATTAGGAGAGTGGTTCACTGACATCTATAGGAATCTACCAAATATTATATCCATGGTGTCTGTTGTCTCTTTATTTTATGATTTAAACATTTTTTTAGAGATAGTTCGTAGCTTTTTTATGTGCAAGGTGCCAGTACTCTGAGCCACAGCTGTATACTGTAACCCAGTGTTCTCGATAACTGACCTGAGCTCCATAGTCAAAGGAGAACTGTGATATTTACTCCACAGAAATTCTTGTCTTCAGGTGCAAACAGCTACAAGAAGAGCAAAAATTTATGCACGCCCATGTGCATAATGTCGCTGTTCTGAGTAACACTTGATTGCCAGCGTGTTTGTTTCTAGTGTAACCTGGCCTTTGTGTTTGTGCTGAGCTGTGTCCTCACCAGCTCGTGACTCTGTGGCTTTCCCTGCAGCTTCTGGTGGTAGTCGAAGGTGAGTCTGTCGAGAACAGCGTGCTCCTCATCGTCGACTGACGCCATGGAGCGCTCACGGTTAATCTGGTTTATATCGATCTCCTTCTCTCCTTTCAGCACCGCATTCCACCAAACCTCTGAGGCCTTACTGAGCGACAGCTGGAAGGCCAACACAAGAAGTTACAGTAACAGTTCTTTGTTTAAAATGCAGTCATGTGGGCAAAAATCAGGCACGAGTATACTCACGACTATACATCTTCCAGGCTCCAGGCTCCACAAAGAGTTCTCAGTGTTGATCTTGTGAGTGAATTCTCCCTCCATTAGTATTTTTTCTTTGGCTCCCTCCCTCACAGCCACTCGTACACTGCTGGTCTGCAGACCAACACTGACCTGAGGACAGCCAACACACACAACAGACATGAGCCACAACTGCACTCGACAACAGAGGACAGCGTTCCCAGCGTGGCAGGTGTTTACCTGTCTGCCCTTAACAACTGACTTGGGTACAAATACGCGGATCTCCACATCAGTGTAATCCTGAGACCAGCTGTAGTTCTCCCTCACGGCCCCGTTGTAGCTGTCAGGGTCTGACTGAAACTTCTCCTGACTCCTGAAACACAATGTGCACAGAGACATGAAGCTACCTCTTCTTCTGTGGTTTTTCATGAATGAGACACTCATTCACCTGTCTGGAGCTTAAATACATGAACAAGGTGTGATTGGATTCACTAGCAAAAACAAGAAGCTTCGGTGGATGAAGCCACAGGATGCTACTCACTCCTCTGGACGCTGCGTGCTGGCTGCAGCTGCCTGCTCTCCCTGAGCTGACTGTCCGGGGCTGCTGCTGCTGTCAGCCCGAGGGTTGATGCTCGGCTCTGAGGCGCCAGGAGCTGAAACATCTGCTGTGTCCACAGAGAGGCTCTCCGTCGGTGCAGCCTCTGTGCTCTGCTCTGTCTCCTCGTGAGGCTCAGTGGCGACCTCCAGCTCCTGAACTACTGGAGGAACACATCTGCTCTCCTCTCTTTTTTGCAGCTCACTCAGACATCTCTCTCTGTCGTGCTCCGCCAGCTTCTCGAACACCTTAAACGTCTGAAGAAGGAATGAAGGACGATCACAGATCAGAGCTTCACATATGTTTAACTTAAACAGTGATTTGCTGCTGTTGTAGTGTTAAAAACTTGACTGGCAGTGGCACAAAATGTGTGCTAGGAAAGTGTTGTCTAGGACATTCAGTTACAGGTGCAGCAAAAGGGGTTTCTCATTTGTCTTAAATGTCTCATTGTTCCCCTCACATCTCTCTTCTAATGAAGACGGGGTATACCAGTAACCCAAGTTTTCAATGTTTAATAGTAAATAATATCGAAGCATGTGCACAAACTGTAGCGTTTAAGGGTCAAACTATATAAGAATGGCTTCTTTAACATTGCACTGAAAATATCTGCGACTTTAACACGCTGGCAAACTTCACCTTAAGCACCATCTTCTCGGCCACACCAGGAGGGAAGCCCATTTTGTCGTTGGGACCTGACAGCAGGCGATAAAAATCCGTTTTGCGGTATAAAAACCCAAAATAGATCTGAAGAAAGTCCTGGATGTTTCCAACATGCTGCAGGATGCCCAGCAGAGCATTGTCGTACATCTCTGTCATCTCCAGCGGCGACGCCATCGTGACTTTGAACGTTTTAATCAACTGTCAATGGTTAAACCTACTATTCCAGTTCGAAAATAAAATGTGTCTATCAGGAAATTCAAGTTTACGAATAAGACGGACTTTCTGGATCAGATTTCCAAACACCCCTTCGAGAACAATAACAACACTTCCGGTCATTATTTCAACTTAAGTACGCTTCTTTAAAACCACACAGGTTTCTTAATATTTACAGCACAGAAACAAAAAACGTAAAAACAAAAATACATTAATTAAATTGGAAAGTCAGTAACAGCGCTATTCATTACTATAGCCAATTTATTTAACAATGCAATTTTCCCTAAACTATTTTATTTTTTAAATATCCGGTTTGTACAGCTCAACAATCGTCCGGTAGAAACATACCCAGCTAACGAATAAACACTTCCAGTGTACAAGCGCATCTTTCATTTTTAAAACAATTTTGCCATTTTGAAATGTGTTATAATTATTGTAATGCTTGAATCTTTCAAAATATTTTTAATACTATAACGAATTGTAAATTGAACAGATTAAAGAACTGTGTTAGCTAACCTAGCATCGTAAGCTCCCTAACTATAGAAGGAAACATGGCGGTGTCCTTGGGCAGCACAGGAAGCGTGAGACTACTTGTAAGAAAATTATTCTTAAGTGTAACGTTTTTAAAACGGTAATACATTATGTTGACACTGCGTAGCCTATATCAAGATTAGTGTGGTAAATACAGCTGCATAGTTTTAGCCTGTGTTTATGTAGAACCTACCGGAAACTAGGGGCCACAGTTTTTAAATGATTTCAGAATCTGCTTTATTGGCCAGGTATATCGGATACACGAGGAATTTGACTCTGGTACATCGGCTCTTAACATTATTTTACAAACTCATCTCTTATTGGCTTTTTTTTTAAAGCATAACCTTATAAGAACTATATAATACCAGTCTGTTCTCAGCAGTAGCTTCAGTAACCCAATGGTATTTTCTCCGCAGAGTGCCTTAGCTAGGTCCGGCTCTTTATGCAGCTCCCCTGGGGTCAGAGGTCTCCATGTCACTGCCGTGTGCTGCAAGGTAAACACTGAGCTCCACACACCCTCATGGCAACAATCAGGCTGTGGTAACGTGTGGCCTGGTCTTCTTGACACTGATACAGTGGCTTCATAAAGTTCTCAGACTCCTTCAGTTTTTCTACACTTCAGTATGTTTCAGACTTCATTTTAAATTGGCAAAACTTTATTATGCCCAACAAGCTACACTCGGTAATGACAAAGTGAAAACAGGTTTTGCAAATTTATTAAAAGTTAAAATCTGAAATCTCTTTTCTGAAGCCACTGTACAGAAGGAGTACTTATGATCTGACAAATATCAGAGTAAATCATATTAAAATAGAGGCCAGAACAAAAGAACAACTGCTGAGTTGTCTAACAGGTTTTCCCCAACACTGTGTTGACTGTATCTTCAGTTGTGTAAACCAGGGGACTGACAGAACCACGCTGTGCCACTCTCAGTGACAAAATGTCAATAATAACATGCAGTTAATGGAGTAGATACTAGCTCTGATCAGCAACTCATGGACATTTCATATGAGTTGAGATGGTGAGAGTAGATTTTTAATAGTTCACCATCTTCAGAAGTTTGAACACATTCACAAAAATACACACTTCCCAAACAGTTAACTACATTTAAATGGTGGTTCTGCATTATTAACATCAGCTGCTTGGCTTTTGTAGTGTGTGGTGGCAGATATTTTAGCTTGAATCTAAGACTCTTCTATTCACAACCCAGTAAAACTGAACAGGTGACATCTGTGCATTTTGGATTTCTGTGGTAGGAGGAAATCCACCCTCATATTCTCTGACTTAACTTTGCTTTGCATGATCTAAAAGCCATTTCAGAATGTTTTTTTCACATTTTCTCTCTTTATCTTTTGCCTTCTAGAACCGAGCAGCTCGTACCCAAGTGGGGAAAGGAGACAAACCTTTGACCTATGAGCAAGCACTCCCCCCTCATTATATTGGTCACCGTAAAGGATGGCTGTCGCAGCACACGGGTGAGCACGACCGAGCTTGTCAAAGAGCAGCATACAGTAACATGCTTGGACATGTTGCTCAGATGACGTGTTCACATCATATGGGATGGAAGGAAGCAATGGGAAAAATTCATATATCTACAAATTGTGAATTTTCATGACTTTGCATAACTCATGTTTTACCCAAGACAGTTGGTGAGAATTAAAAATACTGTGCACTGACTATATAGCTGCCGGTTCAGTTACCTTGAGTTTCGCTGATGTGTTCGTGTCTGTTTGGTTTCGTATTATGAAGTTAATTATTACATTTTCCCAGTCATAATTATGACCTGGAAGTTGACACGAGAGCTAATTACAAGTTTGACACTGCTAATTACTCAGATATGACTTGAATGCAGCATCACAGTATGTTACTCAGGTGCTTGTTTACACACTGCTCCATAGCACTAGTGGTCAAATCCTTTTCACCCTTGATGTCATCGTCACCAGGGGTTTAATAATGTTGCATTTAAAAAAAAAAAAAGATCTAGGCTGCGTCCACGTCTCGGGCCTTAACACTCAGATCGGATCTGTGTTTGTTGCTGCTTCCTGTCCGTGTGTGTCAGTGCCGTGAACACAGCTGAGCTCCTAAACTCCTACACGTGCACAGATGTAACTGAAATGTGAGCCACGTTCGTACAAGAATAACAACCAGGTGGTGTGTGCGACAGTCAAATAGCCCAGTTTCCTCCCAAACCGCTGTTCCTTCTCCATAAACGTCCACCACATGTGAAACGTCCTGGTCTCGCCACTGACCCTGTCGCTGTCGTCGCTCTCATCCATGTTTACTGTTACCGGTCTGTGAGGGGCCGACACCAAATGAGGACGACAGGCCATATGTGCAGAGGAGGAGACAAGCAAGCAAGCAAGCAAAGTTTATTTATATAGCACCTTTCTAAACCTGCGTTACAAGGTGCTTTCCAGGAAAACATAAACAAATAATAATAATAATAAAAATACCTAAGACCAGATAAAACACATCAATACAGTAAAATAACAAGAAAAATACATAGACAAAACAAATACATCAATCAATAAAATTGTCAAAGGCCCGTGAATACAAATGTGTTTTAAGAAGTGATTTAAAAACAGTCTGGTTCGGAGCCGATCTAATCTCCCATGGCAGACCATTCCACAGTATAGGAGCCCGAACTGAAAAAGCTCGGTCTCCCCAATGTTTCCGTCTGG